GATTCAGAGCAATACCAGTGCTAGGCACAAGCAGACTAACAATTGCTTAGGCTCCAAACAACTGAAAGAGGCCCTTTATTTGCTTTTTTAGTATGCTTTGGGGTGGGGTACAGTAGGGGCAAAAAATTTCCTGTTTAGGGCCCTCAAATGGGACTAGCACTGCCTCAGCTTCAGTCAGGTGATCTTGGTTCTGTTCCCAACACTTCCATTCACTTGCTGTGCTGCCCTGGGTAAGTCATTTCACTTCTATGTACCTATTTGTAAAATAGGGAAACTAATAGTTAACCATCTTCATGAATCCTGTATGAAAAAGAAGTGGAACTACAAATGTCTGATGTACTTTAAGATTATTTTTCTTATGCAGAACTTGGTGACTCTGTTGTTGTTTCTGAATACATGGGCAAAATTAGAAAATGTATTTCTTTTCTAAGTTGATCTTACTAATACAATATTTGTTTCCATTACTCATCCCTAAAAAGTAAACATGAAAGAATTCCAAAGCCCTTAGTATGGACTTGCTTTTGGTAATGACTCTAAATCAGCACTTCCATTATAAGTGCAGCTACAACAGCATTAACAATAGAATATAACACATGTAAGCAAAAAATACTGATGCAACTGAAATTTGACAAAAACAGAAACATCACTGCTGCTCATCTTAATGTTTCTTACCCACTTGGCTTTTTTGGCACGGATGTGGGGAGCAATTTTAACTGTCCTTTGTACTTATGTTTAACATTCTGCATTTTCCCCCTTACAATTTACCTGTTACATTCTCTTGTCAGTATTTAACCACACATTATACATAATAATTCTAAAATACACTGTTGGGTCAATTTGCATTATAATTTGTCAGTTTCTCTTTACTGCTCTCTAGTAGCATTTTAAAAAGGACACAAACTATTTAGTGTAACTGACTAAAACAATAGTAGAAGACAAGGAAATTGGAGGGGCTTATCTTAAATTTCAGAAAAAACCCTGATGGCCTTGGGCACGTCATTTCATTGACTTCCATGGCCAGCTCACCTGAATTAGGCAAACACATTTAGTCCATCATGTATCAGTTATAAAAACATCTTAAATTTTTAAGGGGAAAATACTTAAGGATCATACTGCAGTATTACTTTTTAAAGCTGAGATTGCTATTCAAATCAATTGAAGGATATGGCACAGGATTTATAACTTAAAAGGGGGAAGAAATAAAACCTGGTTTTGAAGTTTTTTAAATATAAATGTACTAAAAGGCAAATTAAAAACCCTCCAAGGAATCTAGTATACTAAGAATAAATCTTGGTGACAACCTCAATACTGGCATGGGACTATCATAGTTTCTTTGTAGTAAGTTTAATTTCTAGTTAATCTAGACTTGGCAAAACAATTTGGATCTCCTACCCCCATATATGCCATCATAAAAATATTATGAACCTAAAAGCAACAAACACAGCCTTTCACTAATTCAAATGGATTAGACAGAAAGCATGAACTTTCTTACAACTGTGATATTCCACATCTTGTGTAGGAACACAAAAGTAGCAACAAAGACATTAACAATTGCAGTTCAAGCTGGGAGGGACTGTTCTGTTTCAATTCAATGACACCACTAATGGCTTCTTAGCAGCTCCATGAAATCAACCAGCTGTCAAGTCGATGCATCAGAAGGAACAGTTATGCACTCCCATAAGAAAAAGCAACACATCAGGATGTTTGGCAAAACATCTGCTCCTTTACAATGCAATTCAATAACAAACATGCAAACAAAGAAACAAACAAGAAAAAAGGCAAGAGGAAGTAAAAATTCTAGAGACTTTTATTACTTTCTTATTTTCATTTTAAATAATTTTCTTGTAAAAAAAAATCAGTCATCTAGCATCTTAAACATAAGGTTAATATTAAGACTTAATATATTTACAATACTCCAGCGTTTGCTCCCTGTGTAATACAAAAATATGGTTCTTGTTTCTGTTAAGAAACAGCCAAAACCACCTATTTTCCCAAAAGTTACACAACACATTTAATAAAGTTTATCATAAAAGAGTGTCCCAAACTAATTTTACATTTAAGATGAGTTTTCAAATTAACCTTATTTTTTCCTGACATAGTGAAGTGTAAATAACTCAATATACTAGATTTAAATAAATTCATAGTATAAGAATTTAGTATGACAATTCTATAGTTTATTATGTCAATACATGGTACTCACAGAAAGCTTATTTACTTATTTCTCTCAAAAAGCAGTAAGTCAATAACAGGAAAAAACTATTAGCTGCTCCTCCGAAACAGGGTTTTTCTTCTAACACAATTATTTAAATAGCATGGAAATATAGGCACATATAAATCAATGCCTGATTTTATGCGCTATAGTTTTAAAGAATTAGTAAATTTTTTTTAAAAGCGTTTTGCTTGCCAAATCAGACTTCAAGGAATTTAACACCAAAGATGTCCCTCTTCAAAACTTCAGAGTCCCAACTTCTCTATATATCCAATACAGAAAATTGTTTCAACTACAATTTTCCTTATGCTATCTGACTTATTGATTATGCAGCATTGTGACAAAAATGTGCAATTTACAATAGGTGTGAGACATATCAAATATACTTAACTACCATTTTCTTAAAATGTTTTATCCTCTGCTGCTCACCATTTATAATCTGCCAAATCTTCTAGGCCTTTGTTGCATATATAATTTAGAACCATCTGTTCTATGTGCTTTTAACTATTTAAACATTTTTGTCTACCTACCAGTCACATAACTGGCAGACATTCAATACATCGAGGCTTTCTAAAGCATTTTTAAAATATAGTAAGGTAAATAACTGACTTTTGTTAGCATAAGAACATACTTCCTACACAACCATAAAGACTTGTTGTTAAATATATCATTCATTTTGAGTATGTGAGGGGAAAAAAGAAATCTCCTAATGTACTATAAAACCTGTTCCCCATTAGTTTCTAAGTGAATCATAACCAATGTTTTCCCCAATCCTGAAGACAAAGGGAATGCAAATTAAATAGACAGTTTCGCTTTCTTGTTAGCATGAATATAATTATTCAGAAAATAAAATCAATGTAGGAAACACAATGGAAAATTAAAATTCTATTTACAGTATATATTATTTATGAAGTACTTGATATTTCATTAAGTTTTGCCATGTAATCACAAGAACTTTTATTAGATGAAAAGACTATCAGGTACAAGTAGATTAAACAAACACTATATTCTACTATTTTCCTTTTCACCATCGCTAATATAGGAGTTTATCATCAGAGGTAAACTGATCCAGATCTGTGGAGGTTGGTTTTTTGTTTTTATTTTGCACACAAATAATATTCTGCAGGATACAGCATCTTGGAACACAATCCAAAATACATATCCTATCTGAAGGTACTTTCCAAAAGATGTGTTTTAATAGTACTATATGTATATCAAAATGTTTTAAACTAAGAGTAATCTATAATTAATAAAAAAAAAAAAAAAAAACAACAACCCTGAATTTCCCTAATCCATTTCACCTTCAGTTTTGTATTCCCTCAGAAGATTCTGGACCAAGCTGCCTCATGTAAATTCACATAAAATAACTATTTGCTGTAAATACAAATAATGCTGACAGACAAACGAACTATTACTCCATATGTCAATTTGGATTTTTTTAAATAAAGAGTGAAATATATATTTATATTTGAAATCGTACAAGGCCAGAACACAAAAATGAGTAAACCAAATAGATATTTCTCCACCTGTTACAAAAATACCAGAAGAATGCATAGTTTTAAGAACTATATGCAGTCTAGTAAGATAAACTATACATCTCTAAATGCAGCTTACAACACCTTAAATCAGAAATCCCATGGGAGAACACACACACACTTGGAAAATTTCCCCTTAAACTTTACATGACGTCACTGTCTGTCCCTGTAACATTTCCTAAACTTTGAGCCTTATCCAGCAGGACTTTCAGGATTTCCACCTACCCACCCACCCTTAAGAGAGAGAGAGAGAGACAGGCTTGGGAATAAAAATTTGCCCAAGATGGCGAAAGCCTTGTTGTTTAGAGGGCAGAAAAATGGAGGATATTGTAATATACACAAAGGGATAAATTTCAACAACTCGGCCAAGGGCTGCAGCTGCTTCTCTCTCTTTATAAGGAAGCAACACACACAAAAGATAAAGGGAGAGAGAAGAAAGCAGCAAAGCCCTAAGCACAGGCAGACTCCCTGGTCTCTCCCAAGCCTACTCCGCTCGCCCGCCGCCCTTTCAACACCCAAAGCGGAGTTTGGAGCAACTCTACAATGGCACATTTTGAAATAAAAGGATATAAAAGAGCCCGGGGGAGGGGGAGGCCAAGCGGCAGAGGGGGAGTTTGCCGCTGCGAGCTCAGCGGGAGCCAGAGACTCGGCTGTATTGAGTCGGGCGGGTTCCTCTTACCTTGTGCGCACTCAGCTCCCGGGGGCCCCCTCGCTGCGTACCCCGCTGAGCACCGGCAGGGGAGGCAGAGGGAAGGAATTGCCCCTGTGGCTGCAGCTGGCTGACATGCCCGCGGCGGCCGCAGAGCGCCGAGCCGGGAGTGGGGAAAGCGCGGAGACACAAAGAGGGGCTCCCAGCCCAGGCGTCGGCGGAGCCGGGCAGACGCGGGGCAGCCCGGCCAAGCGACACACGCTTGAACCCATGAATAAAGTTGAAACTCGCTTGGGACCCGGGCTGTCCCCCCACCCCCCGGCCAGGACTCGCCCAGTAGAAGCCTCTCTCCGCCACCCCCCACCGAGTGGCCAAGGTCAGCCCCTTCCCGAGGGGACACACAACCCAAAGGCAGAACCAACCCACCACAACAAAGGGATGATACGAACCAGCGGCAGCAGAACACCGATACCTCAACTCCGGCAGCTTTGCCCATCCCCGCACGATCTCCCCCTTGTCCTGAAATGTGGCAAACATTTCACATTTCCACCTTAACAGAAAAGCCCTCCCTCCCATCTGGAGAGCAGGCAGAGAGGTTTTAACTCACCTTTCTAGTTTGGGAAAGATCTCCCCTTTCTCAGGTGGCTGAAGGGTAGGAGTGGGATGTCGGGGATGTTTCCCTGTCCAACCCCTTACCCTCAAGAAGAGCGTAAAGAAACACTAAGGAGAAGTGGGAAAACTGGGGAAATTTGGACGAGTGTAGCTCTCTCTGTGTGTATCTGTTTCGCTGTCTCGCTGGCTAGTTCCTTACAGCTGCAGCAGATTGAAGCAGATTCTCTGCTCAAGGTTTATTCAGCTTCACTTCCAGGCGAAGCCTTCATGAACCAAAAGTGACGTCAACCAACAAGGCTCTTCTCTCTCCAACAATGAAAGTTGCTGTTAACAAGGGGGAAAAGAGAGAGAATTGTTTATCTCATTTCAGCCCCAGTAATAAATGACCTATCAGCAGCGAAAAGGAGCAAGGAAAAGAGTTGCATTTCTGTTCCCTAAGTGCACAGTCACTTTCTCTCTTACACACACATACAGTCCACTATTCTCCGGACTAGGAAAAGTTACTGAAAAGTTTAGGTCTCAGAAAAGGATAAAAAAAAAAAGAAATCAAAATGTTGTGATTATTTAATAATTAATTAACAGATTGGGATGGAAATGTGTTAGTCTTCCATAGATGTCTAAAATAGTTCTTAAATTATGAGTTATGTTCAGTTAAAGATTAAAATGCATCTAATTTATATTAATAAGAAAGATTTTAAGGGGAGCAGATGACAGTGTGCTGCCATAAGAAAACCTTTACAAGCTCACAAAATCAGATTTTTTTTAAATCAGCTTAGTACATCAGCCAGTCGTGCTGGTTATAAAGTACAACAAATCTTATGGTGTGACAGGAACAAAGTGAAATCCAAACAAATCTAAATAAAACACAAAAACATGACCAAAAACTGTAAGGTGATTTTACATGTGTGTTAGTAATAGCTGAGCTATTACTATGGAAATAGTTTTCAGCGTGTCTGTAAAATACGAGCATTTTATTTTGAATAATGGAGACTCTGGTTGGCTGAAACAATTTAATTAATAGGTTATTTTGTAAAAGAAGAGCAAAAACTAGCCCCTCCTTCCTCTAACCCTTTAAATTATACACGTGGTTTCTCTCTTCTTTTTTGGCAAAAAGTCAAGGTAAGCCAGGGTTAAAGTACATTAAAAACTAAAAGCACAGCTGTCTATGAACAATAAAAAGAAATATTTAAAGATATATTAAAACACGAGAACATCAAGAAATGTAAAGTATGTCTTTACACTATGTCTCTTACCAAACATTTTCTTTAATTCTAAAAATGCAATATTTAACGTGCTCCCCTTATTTAGCATAGTATAGAATTTAAAATGTTATTTTAAAAACTATAGCTAAACAAAACTGATCTCAATGTAAAATAATATTTAGAAAGATGCCATTGTTTTGTGTTTCCCCTTGAGCCACTGCCTGTGATTTTAATTGTACTGGAGGATCTTCATTAGTATTAACACATGGGGAGATTTCACAAAGCTGCTTCATTAGGAAAAAAAAAGCTTGGCAGACTAGGTCTTTTTGCATGCAATGAGAATGTCAGCCTTACCTCGGTCATTTGTAACATAATAAGTGCAAGCACAGTGATTGCAATGCAGGAACACTGGGGGAAGGGCAAAAATACTGCCTGTCTAACAGGAATATGTGAAAAGAAAGCTCCTCATTACACAGTAAAATGTATGCTAAAAATTAGTGAAGATGATCTCTCGAGACTGATGTTAAATAAATTAATGTGCTGATATGTTTTTAATTATTATTTTTGTACTAGTTTATTTCATTCCCCAGATTCACATCCAGCAGCAAAGCTTTGCTAGCATTTATTGATTTTTTTTCACTGCCACATTCCCGGAATACAGATTTTAATCATTTCACTACACCACACTCAGTAATTTCATTAAAAACTGGAACCTTCCATCCCCAGAAAAGCATTTAATTTCAATGACACACAATTTCTCTTAGCAGCAAACTGTCTCAACAGTAAAAGCTGGCCTAAGGTTCAAATGCATAATTTAATCCTGAGTTCTCCATGCTCTGCATTCCTTTGAAGCTATAATTTGACTAACTACCTAATAACTGTAATAAGGACAATGATTTCCTTATAATATGTTATTAACCCATATTTAATTAACTCAGAGGCCAAGCTCTGTACATTTTTGATTGGGTCAGTACTTCTCTAACCTCAAAATTTACTAATAATGTTCTTGAAGAAAATGTGGGATAAGAATATAAGTATAGATATAATCAAATAAATATTTTGCTCAGAATGTTAAGCATCAAAAAGCTCATACATTTTCTAGCACAACGCATTTTAAAATATATGGACATAAACAATGGATATAGTTAATTCAATGTACAGACCTATGCAATCTGCTATACAGATATATTCAATATTTCTACCATTAATATTTGAAAAAAATCCTAATATTAATTATGACTAGCACTATGGCAAAGAACAATTTATTTAAAATGGTTAGTAAGCCAAACCAACCCATGTTCTCAAGATGTATCAAAAAAGTTATTTTGTTATATAATCTATCATCTATCTATAATCTAGCATCAATATAGAATTGAAGCATTGAAAATACAATCAAAATAAAAGTTTAGAGAAGTACTCTAATAGGACCCATTAGGAATGCCTTTTATTGTTGAAAAATTAAACAATACACTTCTCATTGTAAAGCAAAGTATTGATTTTGACTTCATATGGCAAATGAAAATACTGTTGAGTTTGTACATAACACTTTGTACTTGACAGAAAAATGTGTTTCATAAAGAAACAATAGCTCTCATATCAGACTATAAGAATAGTCACAAAGAAACCAGTTTTACTAGAGCAAACTTAGCCTTCATAAATGTATTAGAAATTCTTTTGTTTTAATATGTAACAGAAGCTGATGTTACAGGATCCTCTTAATGCATTTAAAGTGATTAACTATTACATCAAAAAGGTTCACAGCTTCAAATTTTGGCTGGCTTCTCCTTATCAGTATTAAAGTTGTAGTCCTCTATAAAAAATATGCAAATTAAAACGGCAGCATGTATGCAATAAAAAATAGAACTCTTGTTTCTTCCTATTTTTTTATTAATTTGTTTTAAAAATGCAGGAGCCTAGACATTCTAGGTTTCCAATACAAGTGCTCTTTAAATAAAGTCAGCATAATATCTCACCCTTTGCCTCTTCTACTGTTCATTATCTTTATCATAAACCAGTGATTCTCAAAGTATGGTCCATGGACCACTGGTGACCCACGACTGTCTTGCAGGTGGTCTGCGGGCTTGGAGCTTATTTCGTCCTCCCCCGTGCAGATGGAGCGCCAGCTCTGCCTTCCTGCTGGGGAAGAAAAAAGGAAAGCCCCACGCCTCACTGGATTTGGATCGTGGGGGCAGGAAGCAGCTCTGCACTGCCACTCCCCATCCCTCTGGCTGGGGGAACAGCAGCGCAGAAAACCACTTGCCTGGAAGCTTTTCCCACAGCTCCCATTGGCCAGAATTGTAGTCAATGGGAGCAGCAGAGGGAACAGACTCAGATGAGTGCCTCCCATCCTCCACATGCCAAGATCCCACCCCTCCATCCCACTCAAACACACCCTTCCCACCAAGCCTACTCCTGCACCCTCCCTCCTGGCCAGACCATCCAACCCCAACCCACTTCTGTACCCTTCCTCCCAGTAAAATCCACTCCCTCAGCCAGCTCCTGCATCTATTTTGTCATCATGGGTGGTTAGCTGGTGGTCCACAGAAAGGTTTATGTCGAGTGGGGTACGCCGCAGGCCAAAAAGTTTGAGAATTCTCATACACAATTCTTTAGAGAGTTCCGTCCACAAAATGATGCAATATTCAGAAGGGTCACAATTGCATGGAAGAAGAACTGGGAAAAAGAAATATCGCATAGTGAGACCTCAGGCCTGAAGACACTTACACGCATATACTTTATACACGTGAGTAATTCTATTGAAGTCAATAGTCTATTAACATACTTAAAGCGAAGTGTATATACCAGAGTTATATACTTCAGTACGAGCTACTCACACAAGTAGAGTCATAATCATACTTAAACATCTACAGGATTGGAACTTTACACCTTTATCCCACATTGAAAAAAGAAGTTACTCACCCTGTGCAGTAAAGATAATTCTTTGAGAAGTGTGTCCCAGTGGGTGTTCCACTCAGGTCTCAGTGCATCCTTGTGCCAGCAATCAGAGATTTTTTTGCCTAGCAGTGTCTTCCCATGTCATGCCTGTGCAGTCGCTGCCTCACAGTGTTTTCATCCATTGGCTGTGCATGCAGCACAGGTCCCCCTCCATTCCTTTTCTACCAGAAATCTTATAACAGAGTACCAGGGAGGAATGGAGGATAGGGGAGCATCCACAAGGACACACATTTCAAAGACCATCATTACTGCATAGGGTGAGTAACTTCTCCTTCGAATGGTGTCCCTGTGGATGCTCCACTCAGGTGATTAACAAGCAGTACCCACTGCTTGTGGTGGTGGGTTTTGGAGTACATTTTGAGAAAAGAAAAGGGCTACATTGGCTAAGGAGATAGATAGGTATGAGTCCTTGCTGCAGAGCATAGTGTTGTGCAATGGTATTATGTGAAGACCATATCACTGCCCTGCAGATGTCAGCGAGGAGTACATTATGTAGGAAAGCGGTTGATGTGACCATTGCATGGGTGGAATGTGTAGAAATCCTTTGCAGTGGGTCCTTACCCTGAAGATGGTAGGAGCTATATATGGGTTGGCAATCCACTTGGATATATGCTGTACAGAGACAACTGTTCCCTTGTGGGAACCGAACATAGAGATAAAAAGTCTATTTGATTTTCTGAATTCCTTGGTCCTATCAATTTAGAGCACAAGGGCCTATTTAGCATCCAAGGTGTACAACATCATCCCCCTGGAGAAACTGTGAGGTTTAAGATAATAAGGGGGTAAATAAATGGGCTCATTAATATGGAAATCAGATATGACGTTCAGAAGGAATTTTGAATGAGGTCTGAGGGTGACTTAGTAAAAATGGTGTATGGTGTCTCCCATCAGGGCTGCTATTTCACCCACTTTCTTAGTGGAGGTTATCACTACTATAATGGCCACTTTCATGACTAGATGTTCGGGAGAAGCAGTAGCTAGAGGTTCAAAAAGTGGTCTTGTCAATGTGCCAAGCACTAGGTATAAATCTACATGTGGCACAGAAGGACATGAGTTTGGGTGTGTCTTTCACAACCCTATTAGGAAATACTTGGTAATGGGATGTGCAGACAGTGATAAGTTGTCTACTGGTTTGTGGAAGATGGTGATAGACGAGAAATGGACTCAGATGGAGCTGATAGAGAGACCTGCATCACTGAGGTCCATCAGGTATTCAAGCACAGTAGGTACTAGGGCAGTATTTGGTTGTAATTG